TCTAGTAATATATTTACTGAGAAAAATGGTGACGTGTTCAATACTTATTTTACCTGCTTTATATGCAATTTTTTGTTTTGGAAGTAGAAAAAATACCTCCCTGAGCCTACCCTACTCTTTCATGAGACCTCAGCCATTCATTCTAGTTTTTTAATCTTGTTCTTTGTGTTTTCAGGAAAAATGTTAAAAACCAATAATGAATTATTTAAAGTTGCATTTTTTAAAGAATCATTTAATTTCTTTTGTGTGTGTGTGCAGATATCTCTGAATACTAAACAAGAAATCTCCATACACAGTTAGGCAGGTAGGTTGTAAATGTGGTTGCGCAGTCGTCTCTAGGTTCTGCACAAAACTCTGGAACTGCTGTCAGCTTTGGACCGTTTCCTTCCTCCCAAATATACAGGGCAATCTAAAAATGAGGAAAAAACACAAACAGACCAACATTAAGACATTTAATTTGTAGGTAATTTACTAAGGAGTAAAGTCATTGTTAACGGCAGTTAAGTTGGATAAATGTTTTGTGTTTCTTGCGCACAGACACACTCGAGTCATTTCAGGAGACGCTGCTCAGTTTAAAAATCCTGCTCTGAATATCAACTATACGAAAGTGGAGAAGCAGAATTAATGAGGTGGAGTAAAGCACAAGTTAGCTTTGACTATAAATTTACTTTATTAATAGGAACACCTTAAAACGTGACATTAAAAAAGAAAAGTAAACTAAAAAAAAAGCATGTCCATTCTTCACCATCATRCAAGTTCCCAACACAAACTGTGACAGATGAGGTTCAATCAAAACAACTTTTAATCTGTTTCCTATCAGTCTCAGCGTTAAACGGCGAGGGGCGAGATGCATTCCCTGGAGAAATGCCAGATTTTTATGGAGATAAATTACTCTCAAAAGTATCACAAAAAGGTCCACAAGATTTACAAACGTATAAAACGTTTTCCAAATGTTCGCCTTTCAAACTGCACAAGCATGAATCTTGTACGCTTCTGTGAAACTGATTCATCTCCAGAGGCTTTTTGTTTGGAAGACGTTTATACACTGACAGAATATCAATAGATGCATCAGCAGCAAAACGTTTTTCAGTTAAATATCAGACATCGCAACATAAAAGCCCTAACAGAAATCATATAAAATCAGCACCTCGTGTGTCAAATCAATGGTGAAATCTGACTTGGGACTCTCGTAATGAATCCGCTCAGCGAGTCTGAAGGGCAAAAGAGAAAAAACAAACAGCTAAAAGAGGACACATCATTAACCGAAGCTAACGCTAGTGAGCTGAAGTTACAGACATGCTGCAGATGTTAAACATCAAGTTTAAAGTGATGGTATAGACTGGATTTTATTACCTCAGCAGACAAGTCAAATATCTGACTTAATGTTGCATTTAAAAAAGGCAGTGTTTATGGATATAAATTAACTTTAATTTTTGAGTTATTAGTTTCTTTGCCAAATACTGTAAAAGACTTGAATGTTTACAAAAAAGTCTGATTTTTTTTAAAAAAGGGAAAGAGAAATTGAATTATCTGCAGATATTTGCACAGAAACACACCTCTTACAAAGCGGAGCACTTAGAGCCCAACCTGCTGCAGGGTCAGGGTACCCGAAGGAGCCGGGGTCCTCAGAGAACGCGTAGTGATGAATGATGGAGGCCTCGTTGTCATGAAGACGCCTACCCAAAAACCATTCCTGTGTGCAGCAAAAAAGGGAATGAAAGTAACTCGTTTTTTTTTTTTTTTTTTCCTGTTTGCTGACCAAGGTTTTTATCACAAACAAAAACCGTTTAGAAAATGTGAAAAAGGTTTGCAGATCTGGATGCACATATGACTCTCACCTCTCCGAGTGGGAATCTGAGAAAGACCCGGAGCAAAGCAGACAGCGTGACGTTGGTTTCTTCTTCTATGAAAAAAAACCAGAATGCCGTTTCTCCATAAACCGCTGCCAGACTGTGGAAAATTCACAGGAAGTCTCAACGTCAGGAATCATTACAGCTTCATTACGCACAGTTGTGTTGAATTTGGATTGGATCGACTCGTTTCTCACCACCTCACACAGTCACATCACTCACTGTGGAAGAGCAGGAAGAAGACTCCAAGCTCCTCCAGCATTGGACAGCTCGTGGAGGAGGAGAACGACAGGAAGTCCCTGCGTCCAATAAAACAAAACATAATGATGCATCGAACCGTGGATCTGAGCAAAAATAAAAAAAGGTCTTAAAGGGTTTAAAAAATAATAATAATTAATATGAATATTTCAAGCAAGTTTAAAGAGAAAAAATACCAACATATAACATTTTTAAAGCATCATTTGGGAAGATGACAGATAAATATGTTGATGAAAAACTCCAATTTAGTGTTTATTAATTCAACTCCATGTCTTCTTGTTTACTCACTGAAAAGGTGGCTGGTAGGCAAGATTTGTGGCTGCCATCTTGCCAGGTGCTACGCATGTCTATGTACTGTGTACATCAGGGGTGGGCAATCCTGGTCCGCGAGGGCCGCAGCCCTGCATGTTTTATTTTTTTCTCTGCTCAAACACACCTGATTTGAATGAATGGGTGATTATCAGGCTTCTGCTGTACGGAGGACCGAAACTGACATAATTAAAAATAAAAGCGGAAATATATAAATTGACTAACAAATAAATAAATAAATAAATACACTTAAAGTGCACCAAAATAATTCAAAAAGGAGAATTATGTATGTATATATATACACACACACACACACACACACA